TAAAGTAATAGTAAAGTTGAATGTTAGGTGGATAATGACTTGACTACTTTTAAATGAAACTGAAATTTTGTAAAGGAAACAAATATTATAGTTTTGACAAATATTTTAATAAAAAAATTGCATACTTTTAGGATCAGTTTTTATTTCATTATTTTGAAAGTTTGGGTTTTATGCCATAATTACTCGCTTTAAACGATTAAACAGCATTATACATATGACTGCAAAACAGATTGTAAAATTTTAATTGAATATTTTTCAATTAAAATTTTACAATCTGTCAAAATATTAATTGAAACTGTTTTTTTATAATATTTTAAAAATTTCCCAAAAAAGCTGCACTCTATTCTCACTTTTTAAACAGAGTTTCAAAAGATTTAAAGAAAAAAGCGCAAACACGTGAATGTCAGGATCTCTTTGCTATTGACAGACACTGGTTTTGTTCTGAATCAATCTGAAATTCAATGTTGTTCTTTATTTCGTAATTATAATTAATAACTTAGAAAAAAGGGTGGACACGTTCTGGTGTTAAAACTGTCGGGAGATGATTCCTTTGAGTTTTTTAAAAGAAAAAATCGTATGCGTGGAGAGCGCTTCAACTTTTAAGAAGTTAAGTTAAATAAGAAAATAACGGTTTTTTAATATTGTTACCTGATGAATGGCGGAAAAGACAACTCGCAAACACGAATTGTCATTCGGGTTACGAGAAGATTTCAGCTGTAGAAAGTAAATTTTAATTATTAAATATTTAAATAATCATATTGATGCAGGTTTCAAAATTAATTGAGATAATATAAGAATTTCAATGAAACTAAGAAAGTTTTTTATGAGATTTAAAATATGAAAACTTTACTATAACACACTCTCTCTTTCTCTCTTTTTCACGACATTTTATTTCAGATTACTCTAACAATGAAAATAAATTTACGTTCACAAATTTTAATGCAAAAAAATTTTATAAAATCATAAATGGTTTTATAAAATAATAAAACCCTTAATGTACAGCTACATTGTTACTGCCAAAAACCATTTCGCATAAATTTAACCCATTAATACATACAAGAATAGGTTTTATGAATGCGATGAATGCCCCTGAATATATTATGCTCTTGTCATTCTGGCAATGACATCAAACATAAACTCAAAAATATTTAGTAAAATGTTTTTTTGTTTTGTTTTTTTAATATTATTTTTATATTGTGCCTAAAATATTAAGTAAAAAAGAAAATTTTTATTTTAAAATTTTAAAATTATAAAGAATTTTATTATTATAATCATTCCCGTATGGCATTCAATATTTTTATTCAAAGTTCAAAATCTCAAGTATAAAAAAAAAACAATTAAAAAGATAAATTGAAAAATAAAAAACAAAAATTTGCGAACAAATTCGTGTAACAATAAATTAAAAAGGGAAAATTTGAAAAAAAAAAAAATTTTTAAGTAAACAACAATATTTTCAAGGTAAAGTCTGTAAAAGCCCTGCCAAAAAATTCTTAATTTTTATGTTCGAACATTTGTCTCTATCTTTATAGTTATACATAGCTATGTGTAGTATTTAAAGCCAATTTATTGTATTGTAATTTTTCGCCAAATTGTCACACTTTTATATATACATATATGTGTGTGTGTATTTGTGCATTATATAGCTAGATCGTTTGTTTTTTCATTTTGACGTAAAATATCAAGAACTCAAATTTCAGTTTCAGCTAACCTTTCAAAAATATTTAGATCTATTCATTGGCGCATAAAATAAATAAGACCCTTACAATAATCTATTTTTTTTGGGAACTGATTTAAGAGATTTAAAATTTCAATGATTTCTTAGAAGAATGTCAATGTAGAGGAAATATTTGTTGCCTTAATAATTTTCATATTACAGTAAATTTTTAACATTTTCATGTAAACGGTATTCACACCATTTAATTGGTATGAATAACGCTACTCAAATCGTCCAAAATTTGTTTTGAAAAAAAGATGCCGATTTACCCAACTCACGCAAATTATTTTATTACCATTTTGTGGTTCACTTCAGTTTGGTGACTGACTTTTCTCTTCAAAAATTAAGTTCACTTCGGCCATCGTTTCCGTGCTACAATTATTAAAGAATTTATTTTTGATAATATGGATGATATAAATCCATTGTCGAATATGAATTCGAAAATAATATGAATTCCTAGTAGGAAATTATACGCTTTATGAATATTGAGAGGTGTCTCAATTATTTTATATTAGATCACGTAAAGTTTTTAATTTATACTGCAGCTATTGTTTTTTGTAACCAACATATTTCATGTTACTCATGCTATATACCAAGCAATGTGATCCATGCTGTACAACGCTTGAAAATTTGGTCAAAAATTGAAAAATCAATCAAGAAGAGTCACAGCGTCTGTATTCCTTAAATTTTTATGCCTTTTTCTTGACTTTTGGATAAATACAAAATATTTTCAAAAATATTTTATTATCTGTGTTACTTACAATTTCAAGCTCTACCCTACTTACAGAAACCTGGAGTATATTACGTTTTTAGAATAACAAATGCTGTTTAGAAGAAGAATTCATCATTATTTATAAAATCATTAAGTTTGTCAAGTACCAATATTTTGTTTGCATTTCACTTAATGTTACTTAATTTTCGCAAAAATTACTTAGGCAAGCATTTAAATTGTTCTGAACACATATAGAAAAAACAAAGATATCTTAGAATTGACCGGTAACAAAAAAAAAACAATATTCGAAAATTTTCACAATAAAAATAAAAATTGAAATTTACAGTGACAATAAAAACGCCACCAGACAGAATAAAAGAAAAATTTTATTTAATTTTTTTTCTCTTTTTATTGGTTCAGCTACGCGAAGATCAAAATCAAAAAATCTATGAAAATAATAAAAAAAAACTTTTAAAAATAAATTTTAAGTTGCGTTATAAAATTTTTTTTTTTTTCATTTTTGTCTTTTTAATATTTTGACTGTGAAAATTTTTTTTTTCATCCTCAATTATAATTTAAAAAATTTTTTTTTAAAATATTAAAATTTATTGTTTTTCACAATGCTGTGCCTTTACGTATGTATTCAAGTAAAGTCAACGTTCTTAAAACAATAGACATTAAAAAAAGAGACAGCAATTTCGAAAGTCAATTAAATTTCATTTAAATTAAATTACTTATTGATTCTGAAATTTAATATTGAAATTATGAAAAGCTTATAATTTAATTTTAAATTTTTGGCAAATCGATTATTTGGCAAATTTAGAAAATTTGCGAATTATTGCGTTCTTTCTGTAGATTGTGCTGTAATGAACTGCGGATAAATAAATATTTTGATTTAGAGAGAATTCTGAAAAATGAGTAAAATATTTCTCAATACAATATTGCATTTGAAATTGCTATCAACGTCCATTCCCTCTCATCTATTAATACATTTATGACATAACATTCTATACTATATGACATTTGGCTGAGTGACATTTATCAAAAAAAAAGAGACAAAAATTTGATATTATCACAATGCCGAAGGTATGGCATTGGTGCAATTGATTTGAGCCGATGCTAGGTGAAGAGCACTTGACTCTTTTTCTCTCTCTCTCTCTCAAAAAATTAAAATAAATTTAACTTTAGAAAGGAAGTTTTTATAAAATGTCAAATTAATTATTGGTTTTTAAACAATTACATATTACTTTTGTCAAAAACATGTCCGCTTCATTTATACAAAGAAACGAATATGTTCGCTCATAAACGACGACGAAACTTGCATTTAAAATTTGATATGCATTTGTAGTGGTAATTTGCGCTTGTATTTTAATGTTTTCAAATAAGAAAGCTCAAATTCAAATAAAAGGATACAAAAAATTGCATATATTTAGGATTAAAAGCACAATTTATTTAAACTACTTATAATATTTAAAAAAATAGAAAGTAAAATTAAATTGTTTGTTAACCACTTTGTTTCTAAATTAGAAGGACAAATTATTTTGTGGGCGTGTTACGTATATACGTACCACCGTGTGTGCGTAGTAACGAAAAAATAAAAATAAAATATTTTTTTATTAAATAAAAATTAATTTTCAAATTTTTTCTATGTCAAATATTTTTATTTCGCTGCAGTATTTGTAGCGAAACAAAAACGGAAAGATATTTTGAAGTTGCCGCTTTTCAAATCGGTTATTGTAGATCAAAAAATTATTACTCTGTCAATTGAAATAATTCGGAGATTATTTTTAAATAAACGGAAAGGGTTTTTATTGTTTTTTATTATTTTAATTTTTTATTGCAATTGGCAACCATAAAATATTTTTTATAGTTATCTACACACACGTAATTTTTCATTTATTTTGTCACGGGATCGCTCTTCAAATAAAAATATATTTTAAAATTTCTATTAATTTGTACGAATAATAAAATAAATATAAAGGACATTTAAAATTAAAAAATGCAATTCTACGTTTTTTAAAATTGAAAAACTTATTAAATAAAATATTTCTATGTTTTTGTGTATTTTTCTTTTTCACACACATATTAGTTAAATCTCATAATTTATTCGTTTTTAAAAAAATTTACAAGAAAAAAATTATTTAGTATATATATATATAATATGTGCACAGGGATTTCTAATCAGGAAATTTACAACGCAATACTCAATACAAGTATATTGTTTGAAATTTTCGGCCGCAAATTTATATTATTCAACATATTTCTTTTATAATATTGGGATCCCATATTAATTGTTCGTACACCTGACAAGAATACTTTAATTTGTAAGTACAATCCTTCATCTTTGCTCGAAAATTTTTTAGTTTTTTTTTTCTTTGATTATTATTTTATTAATATTTTCATAATCCAAAAATTATTTTAAAAACATTGCATGGTCACGCATGAACATTTTTGTTATTAATTAATTTTTTTTTATTTCAAAATTTTCCATTTTTTCTCTATGTGAAAATTAAATTTTGTAAATTATTCTCTTTCTATATAAATTTTTTTTTAAATTTTTACCATATTTTATAGATGTATGGTCGCTATACCAAAGACCTAGGAGAATACGCCAAAGATGAAGCAAGAAAACTCAAATTGCTTGAAAAAAGAAGAAAAAAAGAAGACAAACTCCGAAACAAGGTATTATTTTTCTTCTAATTCTCAACATTAAATAGTTTTTCATAAAAATTCATAAATATAAAGTAGTAGTGGTGGGATTTCATTTCAGGAATTATTAGGAAAAAGACACGGCAGATTATTCAAAGTTTTATCATGGATTTGGAAGCATACATTTGCCCGTTTAGGGGAGGATTGGGTATTTTTAGCACTTTTAGGTATTATAATGGCTTTATTATCATTTATAATGGACAAAGGAATATCAATATGCACAAATGGTAAATATTTATTTATTAAATGATTTAATTATATTTAATTTATTTATTTTTGAATTTTTAATAATTTTAGCAAGAGTATGGTTATACAGAGATTTAACAAATCATATAGTAACACAATATTTTGCATGGATATCGTTACCAGTTGCTTTAATACTTTTTTCAGCTGGTTTTGTTCATTTGGTGGCACCACAAAGTATAGGCTCAGGTATACCTGAAATGAAAACAATTTTAAGAGGTGTTGCTCTTAAAGAATATTTAACATTCAAGACTTTAGTAGCTAAGGTTATTGGTTTAACAGCTACACTTGGTAGTGGCATGCCATTAGGAAAAGAGGTATATAATAAATTTAATATTTAATTTAATTTTTAATTTAATTTTTTTTTGTATTTTGTAGGGTCCTTTTGTACATATAGCTAGTATAGTTGCTCAATTACTTTCTAAGTTGATTACCTCATTCCAAGGAATTTACGAAAATGAATCTCGTAATTCCGAAATGTTAGCTGCAGCTTGTGCAGTTGGTGTTGGTGCATGTTTTGCAGCACCAGTTGGTGGTAAGTGATATTTAAAAAAATTACATTTAATAACAATAAAATTTTAAACTCACATTAAAAATTCATAAAAAAAAATATTATTCACGAAGCACCGCGCCATCTTTAAGCATTTCTTCTACTATGGTGTAAAATTTTTTTTTAGTTTAATTTTGTTAATTAAGTTTAATTTTCTGACCTCTAGGTGTACTTTTTAGCATTGAAGTAACCACAACATATTTTGCGGTTCGTAATTATTGGCGTGGTTTTTTTGCTGCAGTATGTGGAGCAACTGTTTTTCGTTTACTAGCAGTTTGGTTTCAAAACGCTGACACTGTAAGAGCATTTTTCTTGACAAGTTTCACTGCAGATTTTCCATTTGATCCACAAGAATTGTTCGTGTATGCATTAATGGGGTAAGTAAAAAGAAATTATTGTGAATACAAGAAATTTTCTGTTAAAAATGCCCAAATATGTGTAAAGCGCCCGTATTAGTTATAATTTTATCTAATTAAATTTAATTTTACAGAGTGATATGCGGTCTGGGTGGAGCATTATATGTATGGGTTCATAGACATTACGTCTTATTTATGCGATCCAATAAAAAAATGAACAAATTCTTACAAAAAAAGTAAATACCAACAACTTTCTTTTCAACTTTATGTCTTATACACAATTTTTAATTTATAAACGCATTGTTTTATTTTAGCCGCTTTTTATATCCTGGTATAATAGCTTTAATAGTTTCTACTATAACATTTCCTTTATTTACTGGACAATTTATTGCTGGTGAGCTCAGTACACATGAACAGGTTACACAACTTTTTACAAATTTTACGTGGACACGACCTGATCTCACTATTGAACAAACGGAAGTTGTTAGTAATTGGATGACTCCATATACAGATGTTTTCATAAATTTAGCATGTTACGTTGTATTTACGGTAAGAAGTAATTTATTTATCTATTTTACAGATTAAATTTAAATAACTATTTTTTTCAGTTCTTTTTTTCAATTATTGCATCAACTATTCCTGTACCATCAGGTATTTTTATACCAGTTTTTAAGATTGGTGCAGGTATTGGTCGTTTAGTTGGTGAAGGAATGCATACATGGTTTCCAAGTGGCGTCCGTTATGGTGGTAGATTATCAGCAATTATACCTGGTGGATATGCTGTTGTCGGTGCAGCAGCATTTTCTGGTGCTGTTACTCATACAGTATCTGTAGCTGTGATAGTATTCGAAATGACAGGACAAATTACACATGTTGTACCTGTTATGATAGCTGTGTTAATATCAAATGCAATTGCTGCACTTCTACAACCATCTATGTATGACAGTATTATATTAATTAAGAAATTACCATATCTTCCCGATTTATTACCATCATCATCCGCAATGTATAGTATTTATGTTGAAGATTTTATGGTGCGTGATTTACAATATATTTGGCAAAATATTAGCTATCAAAAATTAAAAGAAATATTAAAATCTAATAAAGCATTAAGAAGTTTACCATTAGTTGATAATCCAGAGAATATGATACTTTTAGGATCTGTTCAAAGATATGAATTAATTAAAATGATTGATAAACATATTGGTCGTGAAAAACGTATGGAAGTTGCTCAAAAATGGAAAAAAGAAGCTGAAGAAAGGTAATTATTATAACACTTAATATAGCTATGAAGTTAGAACTGGAAAAAAATTTTATTTTATTGTAGAATTGCTCGAGAAGAAGAAGAACGTATTAAAAAAGAACAAGAAGAAGCTGCTAAAATACGTAGACCGTCACGTTTTGAAGTTTTACCAGCACCAGATATTTTAGCATTACGGCAACAATTTTCAAATGATGAAACAAAAAGTTTAGAAAAAACAAACAGTTCTAATGCATTAACCATTTCTCAACCAAAAAAATCAATTCTGAAGAAAACAAATTCATTTAATTTGAAAGGTTTACATACACCAAGTAGCCCAACAATGACACCATATACAACAATTACTGGAAATACAGAATATCGTATTCGTTCAGCATTTGAAGCAATTTTCAGGAAAGCTGCTACATTACAAGATGTTAATCCACCAGATTCACAAAATGCTTCACAGGGTAATTTAACTGGAAATGAACATCATACAATTCATCATACACCATCGATTTCGAAAAAAGTTCAATTGGTAAGACTAACAATTATATTATTGTGAATTCAGTAACAATTTTACAATTTTTGTAAATTTTTTTTATAGCCGAGAGAACGTGTCATTGATATGTCACCGGAAGATCAAAAAATTTGGGAAATGGAAGAAATGTTAAAACCAATTGATTTGGAAGCAGCCCATGTTAATATTGATCCTTCACCATTCCAATTAGTTGAACGTACATCTATTCTAAAAGTTCATTCACTTTTCTCAATGGTCGGAATAAATCATGCTTATGTAACTAAAATTGGACGTTTAGTAGGTGTTGTTGGATTGAAAGAGGTAAATGATAATACCGATGGTGGTACACACGCAAAATTTAAAATGTCATGCCTTAAAAATTCCTACATTCCGTTCATCTTCAAATGAAGATTTTTTGAATTTTTTCATATTTTTTTTGCATACGTTTTGGCGTTATAATTTTTACTGAGAAACAAAAAAAAACACTCAAATAAAAAAAAAAGGTTGTTGTCTTAAATAAGAAAATGAGTGCAAATTCAATTTTAAATATTTTCAATACAAAATAATTTGAGAAAAATTTAAAAAGAAAAATTTTTCAATATTTTCTGAATTATTTAATTGTTCAATTACAATCATATATTATGTACATACTTATATATTTAGTATTTGACTAATTTTAATTAATATTTTTAATTATATTTTTTAGCTTCGTAAGGCTATTGAAGACATTAATAGTAATAATTTTACAATACAAAGTGCATTACCATTACCAATTGAAATAGAAACAGATGCAGAAGGACAAAAAAATTCAAAATTATTGGAACCATTATTAATGACTCCACCACCATTATTACAACCAAAAAATAGTGATAAACAAGTGAATCTAACAATAACATCAATGGATTCAGCATTATCAAATTCAGAAAATTGTTCGGATATTGAATTAGATAGTTTAAATAATGCAAAAAATAATAATAATAATAAAACATAAAAAAAATTTAATAATATAGTATACATATGTATTAAACATATATCTATATACATATATATTTTTATGTATTTTAAGAAATTGTAATATAATTTTAATTATATAAATTATTAAGTATAATATTATATATTATTTTAATATAATTATGCAAAATAAAAAAAAAATTATAATAAAATTTAGTTTTAAGTAAAATATTTCATAGTTTAAGTAGGAATTTTAAGAAAATTTAGTTTAAAACAAAAAATTATTAAGACAATAGAAAATTTTTGTGGATTTGAAATCTAAAAAAAATATTTATATTTATTTTATGTAGAGCTATTTAATTATTATTGTTTTTATTATCAACACTGTTATCATTAATATTATTATTATTATGTTATATAATATTCCAATGGTGCCTTAACAAGTGTATTGTATTTAAATTAATTGGCGGAGTAGAGAATTTTCATACAAATTTTTTATAATTTTTGTTCAATATTTGAAAACAAGAATTATAATTATATATTTTGTAAAGAAAATAGAAAAATCAAATTAAAATTTTATATAGAGAAATTGATAATGAAAATAATAATATTAATAAATTTATTTTTAAACATTTATATATTTTTATATACATAAACTGAAAAAGTGCATTAAATTTTTATTATATATAAATGTATAATGGTTGTAAAATTTTTACAACATATTACTTTCGAATCAAATTACATAGTATTATAAATAAATTAATTAGTCCTTTTTTGTTTTTTAGGTTAAAAAGAACCTATTATAATTGTGTTAATTTTTGTTTTCGATTTAATTAATCGGCTCAAATTTTTAATTATACATGTAGATATTTTAATTTTAAAATTCTAATATTATACATTAGAATTATTATTGTAATTATTCAGAATTATTCTTTTAATATTAAATGAAAGAATATTATAAGAACAATCATTTATTATCCACAAAAATTTTAGAATAATATTATAAAGTCACTATTTTTATGCACAAAATTTATATTAAATATTTTATAAAATATACCATATTTTAATTTAAAAAATAATTAGAAAATGGATGGTATATTAAAAAAATGTTATGTAAGTGAATAACAACGCTGGAAAGTTGTTAATATGTAATGTGATTTTAATGAAAATATGAAAAACTATTTTAAATTTTTGTAATAATTTTATTATATTTGTATTTATCTATCTGTAAGAAAATAACAAGGAAAAAATGGGAACATATGTTTTTTGTACGAACTATAAAAATATGTGCATTCACTTATATTGAAATCTGGAATTGAATTTATTAAACAATTAAAATTAATAAATACACATTGTTATACACACTATAAATCATATAGTGCTAATATATAAGCACTTTGTTATACACACTATAAATCAGCTTTTTTAAGATTTTTATAAATTTAAATATCATACTTAAAAAGTAAGTACTAAATTTTATTATATTTTTTATAGAATGCTCTATTTTTGTGTTTTAGAAATTAAAATCAGTAAGCAAGCACTATAAAATAGTGCTAATTTATTGATTTAATTGCAAAGAAACAACAATTATTTTCCAATATTTGTGAATTATGAAAAATATTTCATAGACAGCTACCGCAGACTTTCAGTTACTGCAGATTTTAATTTTAATATCACATTTTTCCCATTATTTACATACATACATACTCGTACAATAATGTAAAGATATATATATATATATATGTATATAATTTTATAATTTATAAATATAATTTTAAAAGACATTATCTTCATTTTATAAGATCAGGATTTATTATATTAAATGAGTATCAATTATATTTTGTATATTGTATGTTGTATATGAAATAAGCAAAAATAATAAAACTATAGACAATAAAATAAATGAATAAAATTGAATATTTTAAATTGTATAAATTTTATAGATTATAGAATTAAGAATAAAAAAACAGAAAGCAAAAATTTGTAATTAAAAATTACTTTTTAAATATTTAAAATTAATTATCGTTTAGTATTTTATTAAATAATTTAGGCGTTTATTATGTGTACGTATGATTTATAAGAAATTAAGAAAATAGAAAAAAAAACAAAGCCAAAATCAGAAACAAATAGAAACCTAAAAAAAACAAAATTTGAATTATTAAATTATTATATATTTAATTGTAATTAATATTGAGTTTTATTGTGTTTTATAATTATATTTTTTATTTTCTTTAGAAAAAATTAAAATTTTAGGTACGAAAATCGATTATCAAATGACTAACCCTTATTTATTGCTATTTTTTCAGTACTTTACAAAATTAAATAATCAAGTTTAAGGCAGAAAATTTCTCACATTTTTATTTAAGGTATTGAGAATAAGTAGATATTGCCGAGTCAACTCTGTAGTACCCGTACGAATAAATGATTCGAACTAAGAGTTGTTTAATAATTGCAGAGCACAACTTATTAGATTCTTTTGGTTTTTTTATATAGTGATTTTGTTATTCATAGTTTTTAAGTTTCGAGTTCGAATATACAAAGTAAATATAAAAATATTATTTATAACTAAAATTTGCATACACTTTGGCTAAAAATATAGATATCTGAGTACAAATAACATAAACAAAGTTTGAGTATGTTTGAAATTTAAAATTAAATAACTTTCCATTACGCTCCAAACATGGCAAGATAAAAATTTTCCTACTTAAAATTAATTACTTTCTATTATATTGCTCAAAAAATTTTTATGCTATTATCACCGTTTATAATTATTCTTAAAAATATATTTAAAATTTTACTTATAATTAATAAAACTAAATATTTTATAAGATATGATCGTTCTTTAAATTTATAAATTAATAAATTATGGCTAACTATCAGAACTTATAATACTTTGTAGAATCGTATCATAAAGCAGTTCTTTGGCTTGTTTTCCAATGATATAATCAAAATGATTCCATTCTTTGTCAGCTATTTCAATATAATTTGGTTTTATTGGTAATTTTGATATTAATGTTTTAACATCTTTAAGGCTGGAAATTGGATCATTGCCACTAACATAAAGGTTAATTGGGGTTGCTGTTACTTTCTCTAATGGATATTTAATTGGAGTTTTTTGTTTATAACGTTTCAAATTGCCTTCTTCTCCATAATCAAATGATTGAAATTCCCCATTCAAATATAACTGAGAATAATGTAAGGTTTGATATATAGAAGCGCCAGCTGGAGCGTATTTATAAAGTTTATAAAGTATTTCCTAAAAAATATCAAATTCGTTTATCAAAATCATGATTATCTTAATCTATTATACGAGTATACTTTAATTTGACACAAAAGTGACGTTTGACATTTAAGCATTTACTTACAGTATCAATTTGTTTTGGATTCTCTCCACCTCCAATCGATAATAATTTGTAACAAAGATTTGAATCTGGATCTTCTGATCTGCAAAAGTTTTGTAAACTTGTAAATAACAGAGAATTAGGAAAATATTCCTCAAAACCAAATGCTGTCGTAAAACGCTAAAAAAAAACATAAGTGATTGATTCCTTTAATACAAATTTAGTAAAAAAATGTAAAATTTACATAAATTGTTGGAATATACAAAGCTGGTAATGTAAAATAAACACTTGTCGTGTATTTCATAAATGTCACTGGTGCCAAAGCATGCATCGTTTTAATCTTGTCATTATATTCAGGTAGTAAAGATGTTAATACAAAAAATGTGGTTGTTCCTTGGGAATGACCAATATAATGTATTTGCCGTTTTCCTGTCTTTTTTAATATATAATCAATATTAGCTGGATTATCATAAATTCCAATTTCATGCCATGTAAAATCCCAAAATTCATGTTGATTTGGTTTTAAGTATCGATGACGTCTTGAATATGTCGTACCTCTTGCTAAAATTTAATTTTAAATTTTATATACGCATTACAAATTTATTGTTTATTCAAAATACCATTGCCAAGCCAAACATCATAACCTGCATCATATAATAAATATGCTAAAGCACGTCCAGGGCCAGAAACTAACCAATTTTCTGAGTTTCCCAATAAACCATGAAATAAATAAACAGGTGGTAATTTATTTTTGCCTTCATTCTCCGTAACATTTATTGAGATTCTATTTAAACGTAAAATATATCCATCTTTGGTGGTGACATCATGGTCTTCAATTTTATAGCCATCCCGATAGCTGATATTGTTCTAAAAATAATTTTGAAACTTATTAAATATCATTAAATACAAAAGATTTAAATGCTAAGTAAAAAAATAAATTGAAAATTATATAATTTCGGTGCTATGCACCTTGACTGGTTTCGTTGTAAGGTCACAAGGGAATTGGTTGAATAACTTAGCTGAGGGAAGGTCATATTATTTCTGCCGAATGAGGTTTGCTCAATTCTGCCCATTGAACATTATCCTATAGTCTATTATCCATATGACGAAGGATAACCATGGCAAAATGTTTTATCTCAAATATGAAGAAACGGCGGTGCACGCACAGTGCAATTAGAAGAGAATTTTAGCGGGGACTTCTTGTCCATTTACAAATATATTTTAAAGAGAAACACACAAATTAATTGCCTAGTTATTAAGATAGTAATTTGATTTTCTATGATATACATATGTATGTATGTATGTATATCTATCGATTTTCTACAATTTTTTTTATTTTAATTAAATTCTTACTCACATAGTCACTACACTGCTTTTTTTGATTTGTAACATTAATTACTACGTGTAGCACATTTAAATTTCATTGCTCCCTTTTGACATATTTTTACAGACAAAAACGAACGTTTCAATGTCAGTTTTACACTATTATTTTTATTATTTTGTTTTAACCGTACATGACGAATGCACTTAATTGTCAACATTATTTGTACACAATATGAACAAGTACAGTCATAAAACATTCTGTAAATGCATTTGAGTATTTGCGTGCAGACTTTCCCTGAGTTAAACAGTATTGATAAGGAAGTTGACTTAAATCTTCCGTTGCTCTCAAAGAACGTTTTTCTAATTTAAAATAGTTTGTTATACTTAGACTTAGCATTTTGGTCAAATATGAAAGAAAAGTATGCTGCCGCAGCTTTCCATTAATTGATTTTCAATTACACGTCTAGTTTAAACAATTATTACATAATATCTTTATAATATAAATATTATTAAATAAAATTGTTATTATTAAATATTGTCCTACATCTATGAATAGAGGAAGAGAAGTGAATAAAGATATTAAAAATTTTAACTTATTTTATTTTTAACCCATTCAATTTATCACTTAAACTAATTGTAATTATTATCCAGAACTCATACCATAATTTTTGCAAAATTTGAGTATCTGTAAACACACAAGCACACCATGTATATGTACTTCATGTGCACAGAAACCAAAAAAATATTTTTTAAATTTATTATTCTAGTATTGAGAATGCAAATTCACTGAATATTTTCTGATTTACTGAATAATTTTCTAAAAAAAACCAACATATTTCTATTGTTTAATTAATAAGTATAAATTGAAAATTCTTACAATGATTTGCTTTTATTCAAAATATCAATTCAAATGCAAATTAAATTCAATTTGCAAATACTATCAATTTGAACTTGAAGTTTTTTAAATGTAAAATTCATGTTCCAAAATATAGATTTGAATGTTTGAACAGGCCATTCCGAAATGAAAATGAAATTTTTTTTTTGACAATTTAAAAATTTTTACAATTATATTATAAAAATTATATTTAGCTGTCTATATATTTATTATATATTATATTTAGCTGTCAGAAGTTCTAATTTAATTGATTTAAAAGTCAATATTTTTTTTTGGCAATTGGAACCCATAGCACGACTGGGTAGATTTTGTGAATTTACTTAAATGTATTTAAATCTGAAATATCAACACTTATGGTAATATCAACAGTGGTTATTTAACTATTTAACCAGTGTCTTAATTAATTTAAAGGAATTACGTTTGCGTTGCAGAAAATTTGAAAACAAAAAAACTATAAAAAAAATTTGAAAATAAAATTTTTTTATTAATTTAGATCATAATGAACACATTATAGAATATGAACAGACAGTGGCAGATAAAAAGACAGTTTCAATATAAAAAGTAGTTGCCAGCTTAAGCCAAGTAATTAATTAAATAAAAATTTGAATATTGAAAAAAAAAACTATACACAAATCATAAAATTTAAACTTAAAATTCAATTCATGAAAAATTTATTTTTCGTTCGATAATTTGTCAAAATTTAACAACAAAAAAATTTTTTTTTGTATTCTAAAAATAAACATTTTACGAATTTTTTAATTATTTTTTCAATAAAATTAGAATTTTCGGTAGCAAAAACCAATTAAAAAATGCAAAAAATGTTACTAGTTAAAACTAGTTAAAATAGTGTTACCATAATATGAAATTAAAAGCATAATATTTTTTATTATCTTCCATATTGTAAGTGTATGGCAAATAAATATGTATATAGCTAAGTAATAAATATTTACCGATTCAGGTATAATATTCATTTCGTAAAAAATGCCTAAATACTATTGTGTTGAAGGCTGTTGAAAACTGTTTCAACAAACTGCCAATGAAAGAGAATTAGAATATTGATCACTAATGCGGTAACAACATTGTTCCTGAAATTCGGAAATTTATTAAATTACTAGAATATTGAATTTTTAGCTTTATTACTTTATTTATAATATTTTTTAGTTTATATAATTTATAATATAACAAATATGGCCAAACTGCGGCTCGCGAGCCGCATGTGACTCTTCAACCAATTTTATGCGGCTCTCGAAGAAAAAATTAAAAAATATTTTTAGTGCAGCTCAAGTCGAAAAAAAATATTCCCAAAAAAATTTTTTTAAAGAAATTTGATTAAAAGTAAAAACGCAGTAGAGTATATCTTTTCCCACACTTTTTAATTTTGTCAACGCTTACTTAACATATGGAAAAATAATTTGTATATATTGTCAAAGCTTAAATTCTTAATCACTCAACTTAGATTTGCAGGGTCAGTAGAAAACTATTTCTGATCTCACGCAAACAATCTTTAGTTTTCAAAAAAAAAGCTACTTTTTAAAAATGATATATTGACAATGAATTTCAATCATTTTCCGAGATTGAAAGAAAAAATCGGAAATAGAAAATGAAAAGCTTAAAGAATATGTGGATAGATTGCAGGAGTTGATGGAGAATTTTAATTTACGATTTCAAGATTTAAAAAAATTTAAAATTTGTATAAATTTTCTTGTAAATCCATTTGAAATTGATATTATTGGTGAAGACTTCATATTTCCACAATATTTACTGAGTAAGTTAATTTCAATGTTCGGCATAACATATTGCTGCGAATCATTATATTCTACAATCAAATTTATTAAGTCCAAGCACCGGTCGCAGCTAACAAATGAACATTTGACTGAGCTTATACGTACGGCATTCACAAATTATAAGCCAGATTTTCAGAAATTTGTAATACACAATGTAATGCATCAACCAGTAAAGTATAAAAATATCATATGTTTTTCTTTAATTATAACTCTTTTTTATTTGTAGGACTAAGACATTTTCAACCAGATATTACATAATTTATAATTTATATCATTGCGGCTCGCAAAAAATTCAAAATTTTGAGTTTTGGCTCTTACCATGACCAAGTCTGGCCACCCCTGTAATATAATCTTAACTATAATCCAGTTAAGTTTATTACTTTATTTCATCTTTTTTACATTAAATAATTCATGTAATTTTTAGCATAATCTTCTAATATTTTATGTATCTTTTATGAATTTTAATAACTGCAACACTACAATGTTTGACTACATAACAAGAAAACGACATATTGACATATGCACACCGATAAGCTGTGACATTTTAAAAATTAAGTAGAGTATAAATTTTTCTATACCCAAAATTCGAAATATCTTCATAATTAATATAATAATACATAAACTACATAACTGCATATAAACTACATAACTACATATAAACTACATATAAAATTACTTTAAACAATTAATACAAATATCATTGATTCAAGTTTCAATCCATTTCTTCAATTTATTTCAACTGAACTGAGTTGATATCAAAATTTAATATCACGTAATCAATCAATTACGTTTATTCAAACAATTTGATTGACATTATTTATTAACAATATTCTATTTTAAATAAAAATACGAAACACAATTCTTCACTCCTTTATACATTTGAAACATTCTAAACGCATACGTTAAATTAAGCAAACTAAAACCTAAAATTAAAAAATCGCACTGCACAAACTTATGTTATTCTTAATGTCATATTTTTGTAGTTGTACGTCTATTAACGGTTTTTTTTATTATATTTATGTGAATGAGTGTTATATTGTTCGAGTTGTAAAGTTTCTAATTTTGAGTTTTTAACTTTCTTTAATTCTATATTTAACTTGGTTCTAGCGCAATTTAATTTTGAAAGTTATAAAGTCTTACGATTAATAAAAAAAACAAATTAATTTACAATTAATTTTATATATGCATATCTTCACACTTGTCATATTGTTTACAAATCATTTTCTAATTTTATTGATTTTATATATTTTTTAATATTACATACTTTATAATCTTCACCATCAACATCTCTTCTTAATGCATCTTTAATAATGGGACCAATTCTTATCCCTTGCACAGTAATTGCAACAAAACAATAAAATCTTAATAAAATTTTAAACAACATTCTAATTTTATTTTATTTTCCAAAATTCTATTATTGCCAAGTTAATTTTAATCTAAATAATTTAAACTAAACTTTAAATGAATTAAATTTTTTATTTTTTAAAATGCACAATAAAATCACATTTAATTTTTTTTTATTTTCGTACACAACACAATAACATCAAAGCGTTCTTACAAATTTCGCATTAAGAACGATTAAAAAACAATAACGTGCTTTCCACTCGAAATCCTTATTAAAAATAAATCAAACAGAAAATATTTAACTTTAATGTTGTACATAAACTAACTAAAGCTCGTCTAGATATTATTTATTTAATTTTTATCGGATTAATACACGATCGCGATTATATTTAAAACATTTAAAATTCTTTATTTACACTCACACTTTAATAAAATGAAGTCGCGCACACATTGTGTACCACACACAAATAATAATAATTTTTTGTGCTACAAACGTAATTGAATAATAACAAATTTTCAACCCTTAACTTTTATACAAATCAAAAAAAAAAGATAGATAGTAAAAAGTTAATTCAAAAGTTTAATTTTATTTTGTGATTTTATTTAAAAAATTTATTCCAATACTTCCAATGGCTTTTATTTACTCAACTATATGGTAAACATTAAACCACATATGCATGTGTGATTGTTTTCTGGTGTGTGACTACACAAACACGTTGGGTAAGGTAATATTGCATATTTTTTATGTTCTTGTATTGTTCCTGCTAGTAGCGTTATTTAATTTTCTTTTAAAGAAATAACCGGTAAATATAAAGATTTTATACAAAATTCTTATACAATATGCTTGTATGAAGATGTGTGTAATCAACATTAATTATTAACAGTAGTGTTCATAACTAAATATTTATATCGTATGCATGTTCCATATTATGTGAATATATTAAAAATAAATTTTATTAACAGGATATTTTAAAATTCAAATAAAGAATTCAAGAATTCTCGTTTTTTTTCCTCCAAATATTAAATGGTTTATTTTTGCTTCCCAATTTGATATTATGCATTAAAAATGAATTCCGTATAACAAAAACTTGATTCTCTACAGTGTAAAGTGTATATTCCGTCAGAATTTCTCATCAGATTCACTTGTAAAGTTTAACTGATTCACTAGCTAAGCTTTTAATTTTATTACTGCAATAGTCTAGAAGAAATTTCATGCTTAATTTTGCAATAATATGAACGAATCAATTAAGTTAATTTATTTTGTAGGTTAAAAAATGATTTTCAATTGAACTTTGAATTTTATGTTTAAATGAAAATAATAACAAAATTGTAAATTTATTTAAATTTAAAGAATATAATTGTGAAATTCCATTTACAGGTATACAACAACATTCTAACACACTTTAGATCTACTTATAACACTAAAATAACACCAACTCGTACATAGGAGTAGTTGAGATGTTTGTTAAACGAGCATTTATTCCAGTAGATGGCTTTAAATTTTTATATGAAATTCAATTTCAAGTAATCAACAACTCCTAAATTCAAGATATTTAAATAATAATATAGAAAATAATGAATTCAGTAAGCCTGGAAGTAATTTTCTAATTAAAGGAAGCAATTAATTATGTTCTAAATTTTGTGTTGTTATTCATAGTTCAAGTTTTCAATTTGAATTACATGAAATTAGTAATTATACAATGGAAAAGGAATCTGAAGTCTCAAATTCTTATTCGATTGTATATGTATGTATGTAAGTAAATGATTTAAATAAAGACTAGTTTATTTTCCTTTTTATAGTTTTAATAAAATTGTTCTTTTATTTTTCTTAAATTTTTAATTTCACAGTTTTAAAAAATTGTCAATTTCTTTTTTCAAATTTTTCTTTGAAAAATTTTAACCATTTCGATACTCTAATAAAATTTCTTTTATTTTAATATAAATGTAGAATTTGTGTAAAATTTTCTGAATTTACATATATTTTTTTAACAATATACTTAAAACTATTAAATGACATGAACTATTAAATTATGTACATATTGACAAAACTCTTATACTATCAAAAACTTAAAAAATTCATATAACCTATAAGGTTTGAGTATTTACGAATTTACAAATTAGATTCATAATTAATTTTCGCATTACATTTTAAATATGGCAAGACTTAGTTTTCTTACTTAAAATTAATACTTTTTGTTATATTGCCGTATAATATTATTTGTATAGTATATTAATATCACCGTTTAAAAATATTATAAAAATATAAAATTTTAAGAAACTATCGCGTCTTAAATCTAAAAATTGTCAAAATATTGTTAGCTGTCAGAACTTATAATACTTTTTAGAATCTTATCATAACATAATTCCTTGGCTTGTTTCCCAATGAGATAATCAAAATGATTCCATTCTTTGTCAGCTATTTCGATATAATTTGGTTTTATTGGTAATTTTGATATTAATGTTTTTACATCTTTAAGACTGGAAATCGGATCATTGCCACTAACATAAAGGTTAATTGGGGTTGCTGTTACTTTCTCTAATGAATATTTAATTGGAGTCTTTTGTTTATAACGTTTCAAATTGCCTTTTTCCCCGTAATCAAATGATTGGAATTCCCCATTCAAATGCAGTTGAGAATAATGTAAGGCTTGATAAATGGAAGCGCCAGCTGGAGCGTATTTAAAAAATTTAAAAAGTGTTTCCTAAAAAATAAAACCAAACATAAACAAAAACAAATTGTTATAATTTTATCTCATTTAATTTATACTCTTTGTGACACAAAAGTAACGTTTGACATTTAAACATTTACTTACAGCATCAATTTGTTTTGGGTTTGCTCCACCTCCAATCGATAATAATTTGTAACAAAGATTTGAATCCGGATCTTCTGATCTGCAAAAGTTTTGTAAACTTGCAAATAATAGAGAGTTAGGAAAATATTCCTCTAAACCAAATGCTGTCGTAAAACGCTAAAAAAAAACATAAGTGATTGATTCCTTTTAATATAAAATTAGTAAAAAATATAAAATTTACATAAATTGTTGGAATATACAAAGCTGGTAATGTAAAATAAACACTTGTCGTGTATTTCATAAATGTCACTGGTGCCAAAGCATGCATCGTTTTAATCTTGTCATTATATTCAGGTAGTAAAGATGTTAATACAAAAAATGTGGTTGTTCCTTGGGAGTGACCAATATAATGTATTTGCCGTTTTCCTGTCTTTTTTAATATATAATCAATATTAGCTGGATTATCATAAATTCCAATTTCATGCCATGTAAAATCCCAAAATTCATGTTGATTTGGTTTTAAGTAACGATGACGTCTTGAATGTGTTGTACCTCTTGCTAAAATTTAATTTTAAATTTTATATACGCATTACAAATTTATTGTTTATTCAAAATACCATTGCCAAGCCAAACATCATAACCTGCATCACATAATAAATATGCTAAAGCACGTCCAGGACCAGAAACTAACCAAATTTCTGAATTTTCTAATAAACCATGAAATAAATAAACAGGTGGTAATTTATTTTTGCCTTCATTCTCTGTAACATTTGATGAGATTCTATTTAAGCGTATAATGTATCCATCTTTTGTAGTGATATCGTGATCTTCAATTTTATAACCATCTCGATAGCTGACATTATTCTGAAAAATAAATTAAAAAACTAATTTAATTATCATTAATTTTAATTTAATAAAAATGCTGAGCTTTAAAATTAATTACATGAACGTTGAAATTTCACTCGTTATAATTAGTTAAATACGACTGCGATTTTGTAGTGCACATAAAATTTTGTTACCAAATGTTTCAAAAACATATTGATTAACTATTGTTAATCATTTTATTCTACAATATGGATCATAGATACAATGTAGTTCAACACTAATACAGCCGAATAATAGTAATTGAAAGAGCAACCGGAGAGAATAGCAAATTAAAAATTTTTCTCTCCCGTCTTAGTTTTCTATAATTTTTGGAATATTATTATTTTAACGATTAAATTTAAATATTCATCGATTCTATCAATTAAATATTATTTAATCGATAGAATCGATAAATTAATCGTTACAAATCTTTTTTCAATTACACTATTAATTACTATGTGTAGCACGTTTCAATTTCATTGCTCCCTTTTGACATATTTTTACAGACAAAAACAAACGTTTCAATGTCAGTTTTGCGCTATTATTTTTATTATTTTACTTTAACCAGCAATGACAGGTGCACTTATATGTCAACGTTATTTGTATACTATTCGCATATATTTTTTGATGTATGCAAAATATATTATGAGCACATTCATAAAAAATTCTGTAAATGCATGTTGTATGCGGATTTGTGTGCAGATTTTCATTGAGTTACAACATTAAAAAGGAAGTTGACTTAAAATCTTGTGTTGCACTTAAAAGAATTTCTAGTATAAGTTTTATTTTGAAATTTTTGAATAGGTATGTACTTAATTTGTTTATGAATGTTAATTAAAATTTTAATATCATAAATATTTTTAAAATGACAGGAAAAAATTCATCATTCTGTTTTTCATTATCACTAATATTAATGTAAATGCAAAGTTGATAATTTGATTTTTTCAATTATTTGAATTTGTTATTGTCATTATCGCATTATGTTTTTAAATTTGCAATATATAAATATGAAACATTTTGTTATACCATAATTTATATTTACATATAAGTATGTAAGTACGTGATTAGAATAAGATTTTCAGTTATTTAATTAGCAATATATACATATGTATGACACTTAATGTTTATTCATGTAATTAATTACTAGCTAAGTAGAACGTTAGAATATTAATCTTTAGTTTATTTTTTAACTAGGTTGATCAAATTTGTAACAATAGTGTACTGTCAATCAAATTAATTTGCAGGCTAATTTATTGACATATTTAATTTTCGAAGGAATTATTATATTATTGATAGTGAAATTATATTCTCATATTTGTGCATACAAACACACAATTTCAAAATTATTCTTCTTTTTGCGGACTTGATATTGTATTTATGCGTGTAAACGATATAATGTAAATGCACTTGTTGTTTTTTTTGGGTATGTGCGAACGTGCTTCTATACTAAATACTAAATACTAAACTTTTGAAATGAAATTGATAACAAAAATTACTTCTATTTCTTAACTTTTTGAATTAAATTTTGAACTATTTACTTTGTCCGTTCGCCTTTCTTCTGTGTGTCTGTTCACAAAACTATCTACACCCTTTAAGATAGAAAGCTGAAAACTTTTTTGCAGATCATTGTTCAAAACTCATTTCTCTACAGAAAAATTTTTATCTATTCCGCCCTCTCTGAAAGTTATAACACTTCAAATACCAAGAAAAGTAATGAGTTTCTTCTACCACGACAGTTTACTTGAATAATAAAATGATAAAATAACCATTTTAATAAGCCTTTAAAATTAACCGTTATCTGAAAGCAGTTTTTTTCTTCTAAATGTTAAGTTGTACGAGTTGTCCGAGTAAACATTTTTTTTCAAAGGAAACTACCATACTTCCAAAATATATACTTTATCTTAACTCACTTACTTAATTGTCGCGTTCAACAACTAGCTCAACGTTTCTTTCAAGTTTTTTATTTTGCTTATCCTAAATATATGCAATAATTAGAAATATTTTGTTTATTATTGCAAGTAATTTATATAATTTTAGTTTTTAAAAGTGGTTAATTTTAGTTTATTTGCTCAAGGGAAAAGCGCTATTTTACAAACCATTAGTTTAATCCAATTTTATTATCATTTGTATTTTATATTGTAATTGATTTTTAATTACACATATTTTAAATCATAATTGTTATAACTCCAACATTTATTTTTAATAAATGAAAGATAAAAGCAAACACTAATCTATAAGTAATGACATTAAATATTAAAAATTCTGAACGACTTTTAACAGAAATTTTATCACTTAAACTAATAATAAAGATCATCAGAATTTTTATGTTCATTATTGAGTCATTTAAGTATTTATATATATATATATATATATATATATATATATACATATATGTTCATATATGTACAATTACACACACATAACAATGCGTTATTTATTTTACAAAAAAATATTTTTTTAAATTTATTATTCTAGCAGTGAGAATGCAATTTCCCTTAATAATTGTTGATTAAAAAAATTATTTTTTTATTGATTTGAGAAGTCAAAAAAACACAATTTTTTCAACAACTTTGTTTTTACAAATTATGTTTCTTAATTGAATTAGCAAATATTTTCAGTTCGAATTTTGAAGTTATTATAAAAACTATATATGTAGGTCATTTCGAAATGAAAATAAGGGTTTTATAACTAAAGTTGAAATTTTGACAATTACACATAGTGCGGCTACAATTTTTATATGATATAGCGTTGACACAAAAATTGACATAAACTATTCATTAGTGTACACAGTATTTGTTTAAAGATATTAAATCGCCTATGTTGAGCAGCACTATCCTCAATCACAATTTGAAAATTGTTCAGAAGAGCAAATTAAAGGTGGAAATGTAATTTCGATTTAAATTCTCGGAAGCTTTAAACGATAAAAAAAAACACTTTTATTAGTTTTAGATTACACTCCTATGTCCACATAAATAAAGTAAATGTATTTATAGTTCATTAACGAGTGCGTTAAAATTATCTAACTGTCTCCCTCAGAACGTAACTCACATAGAACATTGCTTAAAAATTTGCATTGTTTTGAGAAAAATGGTCTTCCGCTGTAAACAGGCTAATTATTCTGTAAGATTAGTATTGTATTCAATCACGTGGTGTTTTCTGCAAGCCACTTCCTAAATCGGTTTTGCAAATCATTAATTGAAATTAGATGATTTTACAAACATTTTTTGAAGTCAATTTTTTTATAGAATTTAAATTAATTTGCTTCTCAGAAGTTTTTCAAAATTATATTCATTAATTATAAATTATTATATCATAAACATTTGTTAATTGTTACCTACATTGTATAGTTCGGCCATTAGTTACTTAACCATTTAACCAATCAATAACAATATCTTAATTAACATAATAGAATTAGTTCAAGTGTTAAATGTGGAATTGTAATGTCATGTTTGTGTTGCAAAAAACTTAGACAAAAAAAAATAAATTTGACTTATTTTTTTTATTAATTTAGAAGTGTTTCAGTAATTTTTCAAGATTTATTTTATATTCAGTGCGATTGAATATCATTGCGAAATTTTTATGCTAATTATATTTGCTTCATTTTTTTTAAATCACAATAAATTCACTGGTTATTAAATTTTAAAAATTTTTATAGAATTTAGATTAGTTTTATGTCACTCTTTAGAACAAACAAAAAAATTATTTAAAATTCTTTCATTTTGTATTTTGTAGGTATTGCCAATTTTTTTTAAATTCGAGAAAATATAATTACATAATCGTACATTGGCTGATATGTAGAAGAGATATTGGAAAATGACTCAATAATATTAATGAATAAGGCACAGTATTTGATGATCGTAGAGAATAAAATTATATTCCAAAATTTTAAATTCAATTTATTTATCATGGTATTTTAACTTAAATAACGCTTATACATTTAAAACATGCGATACGCACTTTAAATTAAACAAACTAAAACCTAAAATTAAAAATTCGCACTGCACAAACTTATGTTAATCTTACTGTCATATTTGTAGTTAGACGTATTAATGGTTCTTTGTTTTATTTATGAGAAAGAGTGTTATTGTTTGAGAATTAAAATTTGCAATTTTGAGTTCCAAACTTCTAATTCAATATTAAACTTTCTCCTAGCACAATTTAATTGGAAATATTATAAAATTTTACAATTAACAATAAAAAACAAAGTATTTTTTAATTAATTTTACATATACATATCTTCACACTTGTCTTTATTGGTCAAAACTTCAACTTCAAATAAGGAATACGTATACATACATATATGAAAGCTTAGTATAACAAAATCTTCACTTAACAACTAAATATTTTTTTTTCATCAATAATTAATTATATTATTATTTTTTAATTTTAATCATTATTGATTCTATATATTTTTTAATATTACATACTTTATAATCTTCACCATCAACATCTCTTCTTAATGCATCTTTAATAATGGGACCAATTCTTATCCCTTGCACAGTAATTGCAACAAAACAATAAAATCTTAATAAAATTTTAAACAACATTCTAATTTTATTTTATTTTCCAAAATTCTATTATTGCCAAGTTAATTTTAATCTAAATAATTTAAACTAAACTTTAAATGAATTAAATTTTTTATTTTTTAAAATGCACAATAAAATCACATTTAATTTTTTTTTATTTTCGTACACAACACAATAACATCAAAGCGTTCTTACAAATTTCGCATTAAGAACGATTAAAAAACAATAACGTGCTTTCCACTCGAAATCCTTATTAAAAATAAATCAAACAGAAAATATTTAACTTTAATGTTGTACATAAACTAACTAAAGCTCGTCTAGATATTATTTATTTAATTTTTATCGGATTAATACACGATCGCGATTATATTTAAAACATTTAAAATTCTTTATTTACACTCACACTTTAATAAAATGAAGTCGCGCGCACATTGTGTACCACACACAAATAATAATAATTTTTTGTGCTACAAACGTAATTGAATAATAACAAATTTTCAACCCTTAACTTTTATACAAAAAAAAATTATAGTTAATAATATAAAGTTAATTCAAAAGTTTAATTTTATTTTGTGATTTTATTTAAAAAATTTATTCCAATACTTCCAATGGCTTTTATTTACTCAACTATATGGTAAACATTAAACCACATATGCATATGTGATTGTTTTCTGGTGTGTGACTACACAAACACGTTGGGTAAGGTAATATTGCATATTTTTTATGTTCTTGTATTGTTCCTGCTAGTAGCGTTATTTAATTTTCTTTTAAAGAAATAACCGGTAAATATAAAGATTTTATACAAAATTCTTATACAATATGCTTGTATGAAGATGTGTGTAATCAGCATTAATTAACGGTAGTGTTCATAACTAAATATTCATATCGTATGCATGTTCCATATTATGTGAATATATTAAAAATAAATTTTATTAAGAGGATATTTTAAAATTCAAATAAAGAATTCAAGAATTCTCGTTTTTTTTCCTCCAAATATTAAATGGTTTATTTTTACTTCCCAATTTGATATTATGCATTAGAAATGAATTCCGTATAACAAAAATATACTTGAATATATACAGTGTACAGTATGTATATTCCGCCAGAATCGCTCAGCAGTTTCACTGATTTAAACTAACCAAGCTTTTAATTTTATCATTTCAATGAAGTTCAGAAGAAATTTCATGCTTAAATTTACTTCATATTTGTAATGAGAAGCAATCAAGTTAATTAATTTTGTTCGAGTTCAATTATTATTTTAATTATTTAGTAATCCCTAAAAAATGATTTTCAATTGAACTTTGAATTTTATATTTAAAGAAAAATAATAAGAAAATTATAAATCTGTGCGTTATAAAAACCATAGTAAAGATTTATTTAAAATTTAAGACAAATAATAATTAGCACTGTTTGTAGAGGGAGACCTTTTATAAAACCAAATCTCATTAATTACAATTTCATTTGATTAATTAAGGTTATTAAGTTAAAAAAATAAAATTTAATTCTTAAAAAATTTCGCATTAATTTTATTAATTACGTAGTCGTGTATAAAATTCGTAATATTTATTTTAAATTTATCGTATAAGATCCTACTTCATTTTACCTATTTAGGAACGTTACTGCTAAAAGAATCATATAAATTTTAATATTTACAAAGGATTCACAACATGAAAAATATCTGATGTGGTCAGCATATAACTGACCAGAAAAACTATTCTCTGTTTTGGTAAAAATGTTTCCATTCAAATTTTAACTTTCAAGAAATTCTGTTCTTTTAGGAATTAATATGGTAACGCACTATGTATAAAATCGAGGTGTAGGTAACAATTTATATTTCCGAAGTCAAAAAATACTGATTCATTTTTTTAACAACTTGAAAAGTTACGCAATTGTTGTATTATCAGACGGAGTTCATATATAAAAATTTTAAAAAATCTAAAATTCAAAATCAATTCTGTCGAAATTGAATTATACACGAGTATATACCCAGAGACCAATAAACTGACATATCGAAAGAGCGATATCTTGTTAAAAATAATTTATTTAGGTTTCTCTACCACAGAGAAACGCATTCTTGTTGAAAAATCTGACGAGAAATTTGGTGCAATCACATCACCTCCCTTGTTGTGTATAATGCGGTCGGTAAAAATTAATTACAATAAATCTAGATTTACTTGTTTTTCAAGATTTTAATTTTAGAAATATTCTCCCTTGCTATAAATAAAATTCTAGATATAAAAACATAATAATAAAGAATTTTATTCTGTTCTTTAGTTTACTACACTTCTCAACTCTTAGTTACTTTTTAATCAATTTCTATGTGCAGAATAAATTAAATAACTTATTTTAAATTTATAAAAAAAGAATATTTATATGTATATGAATATAGGTGCATATACGATTCGTAAATAGAACCTCACTAAAGCCGTACTCGATGATCGATTTGTAATAACCAAGCCATTATAGTATGCTATACAGTAAGCTTTCTGGTTAATCTTTATAAAATAAAAATAACTTATATTTTGTTTTAAGTGAGAAATTTTTTAATTCCACTGTCCAATTTCTTAGATTTCAATCATAAATTTTGTGAACATAGTGTTGGATTCCAATTTACCTTTTATAACAAAATGTTGTGTTTACCGGAAATGCACGTGCCAAAAATTATATTTTTTATTTTATATATTATGTACGCATGTATGTGTTTATATATACTTTTTACTTTTTATATACTTTTTAGCACTTTTCCAAAAAATTTTTGAAAAAAAAGTGCTTATTAGTTTCACTCTGTCCGTCCGTCCGTCCGTCCGTCCGTCCGTCCGTCCGTCCGTCCGTGTGTCTGTTTACAAAACTTCTACACCCTTGAAGATAGAAAGCTGAAATTTTGTACGTACATAGATTTTTACTAGAAACTTATTTTCGTGGAACAAAATTTTTACCTATCTCCCCCCCTTTAGAAGTTATACCCCCCCAAAACCCTAAAAATGCCATTCTTTAACTATTTAGTGCAATGAAACCATAAGGATTTTTCAAATTTTGCAAACGCAGAAAGGCAGTGGCTTACTTCCCCTAGCGGGGTATACTAAAGGTTAACTTTAGAAAAACAAAATGGCCGGTCAAATTTACCGTTATCTAAAATCCGTTTTTTCCAAATTTTTGATGTCGTTTATTTTCTAGACCCAGCCTGTAGAAGCTTGAAATTTTATGGGCTTTTAGACATTAACAAATAGTTCATTTCGTTAGAAGAAAATTTTTTTCCATCTCCTTCCCCTCTCAAGTTATGGCCTCTTGAAATTTGTAAAATTTGAATTTTTGACACCTTATATTTCCGAAACCGCAAGCTTTTTCAAATTTCTATAAACATAAAAAGCTAACGGTAAATTCCATGAAATTAAAAAATATAATTATTTTTCTTAACTCACATAATTAAACCTTAAAATCGAGCATTATGTTAAACCCTTTTTATATTAATTTTTGCTTTATTTCAAACACTGCATATATGCGTCATCCTAAATATATGCAATTCTAGAAATAGTTTTGTATATGAATGAAAATAATTTTAATAGTTTGATAGGTATACATAGACTGTATTTAAAAGCAGAATTTTCACTTGCTGAAGGGAAAAGTGCTACAATACAAACCATTGGTTTGACCCAACTTTATTATACGTATACATATGAGCAATTATACTTTGCAAAATTAAAATTCTTTACTAACGCAATTTGTATACCCGCTGCAACTGTTCAAAAATTATTGTTTTTAAGGCTGCGTTTCCTGACTGACAACCAGTCTTAGAATCTCCAATAAAATAGAATTATTTACAATTGTCAAGCGTTTCTATCAAGCGTTTAAATACAAAAGTAAATAAATTTAATAAATTGTTACATTAACGCGTCATATTAAAATGCAGTGGTTAATCTTTAAACAATTATTTATGCAAAATTTACAAGCAATTATTTTTTATAAACCAAATTTAATAGCATTTACAATTGTTACACTTATACTTTACTGTTTTCAAACTGAAATATAAATCGAATTGGGTTAAATCAATGGTTTGTAAAGTAGCACTTCTCCTTTCAACAAGTGAAAATACTATACTGTTTTTGAAAAATAATTTATATTGGAGAAAATATTTCAAATGATTGTATAATTTTAACATGTGGCAAGAAATGATTGAACGAGGCTAATTCGAGGGTTATTTGCGTGACTTAAGATAAATATTTATAATTTCTGGATGACATGGCATTTATAGAAATTTGAAAAAGTTACAGTTCCGAAAATCAAATAAATGAACTATGTATTATTATCTAAAAGCAGCTAAAATTTCAGACTGCTACAACTTATTGTCTAGAAGACAAACAATACCGCAGTAGTGGAAACATTTCGCTACATTTCAGAAGTGTTTGCCGGTTCGTTACAATAAATAGTCAAAAAATTGCTTCTTTAGAACTTTGAGGGGCTATAACTTTTAGAGAGGGAGGAAATAGACAAAAATTTTCTTCTAGCGAAATGAGTTTCTAACAAAAATTAAATGTTAAATTGTGTACAAACTTTCAATTCTCTATCCCAAAGGTTGTGAAATTTCCTAAACAGACACAAGGACGGACGGACGGGCAAAGCGAAACTAATAAGCACTTTTTCAAAGTTTTTTTTGGAAAACTGCTAAAAAAATATTTTTTTATATGGTTATTAACTTTTTAATTTAGAAATTGAATGTTGGAATAGCAAAACTTACAAAAAAAAAAAAAACGCTACGAAATATTTTTAATGTTACTTTATGTGTTATACTCTTACCACATTACGCGATCAAGTTCAAGTTCAAGAAACTGGAATTAACAAGCTGATGAGAAATTGTTATTGTGATATGCTATATTTATGCTAATGAATAATAAAATGTTGTTTTTACAAGTTTTTTCTTTTGTGCAAATATTTTATTATTTTTTTAGACCGATTTAAAATGTTCTTTTAGAACAAAATTTTTTGCGATCTTGAATTTTTTACTAGTGTTTTTTTTTGTCATTTTTTGGCAACATGTACATACTTACTTGGTTAATATTATTTTAGTGCCTCAATGAAAATTAACTGTTATTGCTCCTTTATTTGCTTATATACATATGTATGTTCTTTGTATGAATGTGTTGGAGAAGTATATATGTGTTTGAGTATACAAAAAAATAAGTAAACGAAAAAATTAAAGCAGTTTGTTACTGTGACTTTATTTTTTGGTTTTTATTTTATGCTAATAAATTTTGTTTTAATTGCAAAATATTATAAGTTAGATGCATCATACAATTTAATCAGCTTAAAAAGATCAATTTTTTTACAACTAGTCTAATCGAATAATCATTTTGTGTAGGTACTATTATAAAATTCTAGCATAAAATTCTTGTGTAAACATAACGAAAATTTTAAGTTTTTTCATCCATCAAATTCACCACGCGCCGTATCATTAGAAAAAATCGCGTCGCAAATCTGTGCGCATTTGAGTTGCGATGCGTAAATAAATTAGTGCCATGTAACAAATACATAATTATGAAAATATAATTCTACAAACAACTGCTCAAATTACTGGCCAAGTAATAAATCAGTATAATCAGTAAATACATACCAATAAAAAGACAAAAGAAAAACAAATTTGATTAAAAAATACTTAAGCCGAAATTAAGAAATTTACTTAACCTATGACGCACTATTAAAATTTTAGAAACAAAAATTATTATCAATTGTCATATAAAAGCAATCCGAAATTAAAGATCATAAGAATATGTAAAAAGTTTTCCGAAAAATTAAAATGAACGTGAATGCAGCTAAATAGTTATTAGCTGTAAAATCTGTACGCATGGTAACTGCACGAAAAGCGTAAGGAAAAATCTGTCAAAAAAAAATTAAACATTACCAGAATTTCAATATAAATGTTAAAACTTTTAGTTTGCTGTAGAGGGTTAAAAGGATAAATTCCTTTGTTTTAGAAAAACATAAATTTTAAATTCAAATGGAAATTATTTTTAAAATTCTAGTTTTAAATCTAAACTTTAGATCGTATTTAAATTTTGTTATTTTTTACTTCCAGTTTTAATTAATAAAAATTTGTTTACTGAGTTTTAAAAGCCGCATAAAAATTGTATTTTTTTTCTTTTTTCGTGTCTAGTTTTTATTTAAGTTCTGAAGGCCGGCAATTTAATTTTATTTTGAGAATTAATTCGTTCAAAAAATTTTATTATAAAATATTCTTATTTAATAAATTAAAAATTAAAATAATTATAATTGAATAATTTTGTTCTTTTTTTTTCTTATTTTTGCAAAAAATACTTGAATATTCTTTTGAAAGTGAGATCGGAAAAATGTTTCGTATTTTGGAATTAGTTTTGCCCTGACATTAGTATTTTAATGACGCCTCATTTTAATACTATATTTGATTTGAACCCGGAAATAAGATAAATAAAACTTCAGGGAAGGGAAATTGTTGAAGAAGAACCAAATCACAACTGTAAGCCTGGTCATACACAGTAGAATTAGATTAATTTTTAAAAAAATTGTCTTAAACGCGATTCATAGTACAACGAATAATATGTTATTCAAGATTTCCTATTTAAAGTAGTGTAAATAGGGTATGTAGTGTAAATCCAATTTTCTATATAACATGTTAATCAAACAGTATAGCATGTTACTCTCCTGTAGTCAGAATAGGATATTTAGTTTAATTATATATTAATATTCTAATTCAAATATTCATCAACTGTTTCTTATCTTTGAAAGCTACAGGTGATATCACCTGCTTAACCTTTGAATTTTCAGTATACACTTAATATATTTTAGCTGGTATCACGCGTTTCTATATGATATTCAATTATAGTAGTTATTTTGCTTAGTAATTTTATTATAGAACAAAACGAAATGATTTTTATGAGCTTTATAATCTTTTATACGGTATCTACATGTGTTACGGTTTAAAAGAAATAAAAATCTTGTAATTTCAAAATGCTAATTTTATTATATCTGCATACTCGTATTACAGTGCATAAGTATATAATTAATTTAACATAAACGCACAAACAAGTTATCCAAGAGATCATTTCTAGCTTTTGTTGGTTTTCGCAAGTATCAGTGTGTCTTTATTTGAATATATCATTCAAATTAGATGTATATAACTTTCAATCACGGCTTCGAATATGGTGGGCAAATTAAACTGTTATAACTTCTTATAATTCACACCTAATTTAATTATATAAAATTGAACTTGGTTTTGATGATTTCTGAATACATGTGTGTGCACGTTATGTATTTAGGCTTATATTATGCGCATTTAAAAATTACTTCACCTTAAACCTGGTGATCTTAATAATATTTTTATGTTTCCTTGTTATTGTAATTTTCATTACATAATTATACCGGTTTATTTTTTAGTGTAAACAATTAAAATAAAAATGATTTATTAAATTTAATTGAGTCTATTTTAAGCAATTAAAATGTTATTGACTTTTTGTAGAATAATACATACACAGAATGTTTTTCTGCATTTGCAGAATTCTTTACATTTTATTAAATTTCCAAAAATTTCGGACCAAGTCAACTTTGGATCCATTATTATTCTTGATTTTCATTAACGATATACATAAATTATCATTTCTTGGCCGTTTGCTGTTTTATAAGAAATACTTATCTTTTAATAATCTTTTAGGATCGATAGGTTTAGATTAACTTCAAACCGCGCCAGTATCAACATGGGATTGAGTTGGAATTCCTCGTGATGAATTGTTAACTTAACACTTTTAATGATCTTATGCACAAATACGAAAATAAATTTTTGTTTTTTCTTATAGTTAAGCGATGGAAAGTGGTGATACAGGAATTAAAGCTACAAATCTTTCAAAACAAAACTTTTATAGATATATAATAGATCTCACTATTAGGTATGTATAGCGCAGTCGACTTTTGTTATTCCAATCTTATTTTGCCTCTAACATAGTGTTTATCATTTTCAGCTGCTTTTATATGTATTTAAAGTACTTAACGGGTCGAATCATTCCAATAATTCTTCTATTAAGCGGCAATCTCATAAATTTTACGCGAGACTTAAAATATTAAATTTAGTTTAAGCTTCACCAACAAAAATTTGAACAAAAATAATTCAGTACATATTTTTAATATTCTTTTATTATAAAAAAAAAAAAACTTATTCTAAAATTAAATTTAAAAGAATTTTATAATTTAAATAAACGAATAAACTAATAAAAAAATATCTTGTGTAAATGATAAAACGAATTTCGAAGTCTCAATATACTCCATTTAAATTATTTTGCATTGGATTATTTGTTCGGGTATGTATTCTTCTTCTAGGATTTGTTGTTGTTATTTTTTCAGCTTCAATACGTCCCGATAAAAATATTGCTAAATGTTCCTATATTAAAATATAAATAAATATTATAATATTATATACATGTTTCATCAAAATATATTTACCAAAGCATTATTAGCGTATGCTTGCATTTCATCATATGTTTCAGTTACTTTACTAACGACACCTTCAGCTCTAACAGCAGTTTTATTTTTTAACTCAGTTAAAGGTTTTGTACTGCCTAAATGTTCTATAACAATTATAAATTGATTCGCTAATTCAGTTGTTGAATTGATTATGGATCTAATATAAAAAAATTTAATATATATATATATATATATATATGTAGATATGAACTTGTTGATATATATATTTAAAAAAATTTTTAAATTTTATAACTTACTTTGGTATACGATATGCTGCATTTGCTGTAAAATTAACTAAATGTACAACTCTTCTGGCAGATTCTCTAGTTAATAAAACTAAAAGTTCTTCGAGAGTTTTTGGTCGAGCCTGATTTTCTGGTTCATCTTTACTTAAATAACTCCAAAGTTCTTGAGCTTTTTCCAAAGCTTGTTTTGGATCTGTTAAAATCTAAAACAAAAATTTAAATATTAATAATAAATCTAAAAAATTTGTATTAATTGGCAACAAGTATTAAAACTTCAACATTTTTTAATATTTTGACCTTTGATCATTGCTCATTATTCGATATAATTAATTATACTTGATTTTTTATTGTACTCGTATTGATTAGAAATTTTTTTTTAGATTCTCGAATAATTTCACTCCAACACTAATTAAAGTAAGTTGTTATGCTCATATGACATACTTATATATGTATTATAAATTGTCATTAATATAAACGCGTATTTAATTAAACTATTGCTATATGATTACTAATCGGTCAGTTCTAAGTCCAAGTTCAATGTTATCAAAATATACAAAGTTTTTTTCGCCGAAAATATTCTCATCATTATAATCTTTGTTTTTGCACTTATTAAACGCTTTGATTTGGAAAGAAATTGAAATTATAACAAATCACTACTACAATTAAAAAAATTTTTTTAAAACAGTCATAAATCAGTATACGAATCGAATAACAAAATAAAAAGAGAAAAATAATGAGATTATAAGAGTAAAAAAATAAAAAAAAAAGAGAATCAATTTATGCAATTGATAACTCGCAAGGTGTTACTTACCAATTCAGCAGCATAAATAAGAATATGAATTGCTTCTTTACTATGCTCTTTAAGAGCCTTAGCTTCAGCAATAGTTCTTTGTGTTAGGCGTCTTTTGAGTTTTCTTGAAAATCTTTGACCATGATGTATAGCTTTCATTGGTCCTTCTTCGTTATTTTGTTCGATTTCCGGTCTTTCAGATTGTGCTAAAAAAAAACAAAATGTAGAATTAAATTAACGAAAATTTTAAGCAATTGCGTTTCAAAAATTTTAAATTATTTTCATCATACAAATTTATTTTACTTCGGTATCATTTTTTTTTTAAAATATTCGAATTCGAAAACGATAACCTTTTGTGACCAAAATTTTTAATTAATAAATTTTTGATAATTTGCATAATGAAAGTTCATAAAATTGCAATTTCAAAATGTCTCAATCAGTATTGCCGTATAAAAAGAAAAAAGTTAAAAGTTTTTCGATTTTTGAAATAATGAAATTTTAATAAAATAAATATTAATTATTATTAGATTTCTTTGAATGTAAATATAACCAATCTTTTAATATCATAACCAATAAAATCAAATGAAAATAAAAAATTTATAAAAATACTTACTTTCTCCTTCAACAGCTAAATATTTATCAACATATTTATCAGCAACTGTAATGGCATCATCAATTTTATCGGCAGCTGCATTTATTGCACCAATTGTTAAAGGACTATCTAGAACAGCATTTCTTAATTGTTTAACAGAATCAGCTCTCTTTAAAACCGGTTTAACTAAACGATCTGACATATATTCTTTTGTATTGAAAATCATCATTTCAGGTGGTAAATATACAAGTGGTGCCCTCTGTTCAACTTTATCTAAACTTTTACACATAATTTCATCGATACGTTTAATTGGACCCTCAAATAATTGTACTGCCGGTAATAAACTTTCAATTGTTGCACTAATTGTAGTCTCAGCCATACCAAAATACCAATTAAATAAACGATTACTACCTTTAATTCTTTCATAAACATTTTCAGCTGTTTTAAAACCGGTTTCAATAATTGGTATATTACCGAAACGTTCAACTGCTTCTAAATGAAAAAGTGCTGAATTTTGACGTTTAATTTGACGCTTCGTAACTATATATAAAAAAAAATTATTTTAATTTTAAATAATTAATTTGTTTATTATTTTAATAATTTTCGTACCCATTTTGGTTTTTATTAAATTGTTTTTAATATTTATAATTTTTGTAATATTTTTCTCGAATTGAAATGCGTTCCAATCGAATTCGCGTTTTCTAATAGACTGAATTTATTTTTTACTTGTAACTTAAGTTTAAACACTTAATGAAATTTATAATAAAAAATCAAAAAAGTTCGTCTTATCTATAGGAAACTTTTTGACCTAAGTCCAAACCGGTGAATACATCATAAGATAAGATTATTTTAGAATAATTCCAAATAACAAAATAAGGGACAAGTTTATTTTTAATTTATTATTGTTACTTACACATAAACGAAAAGAAAATCATATAAGAAAGAAAGGTAAGGTCATCAGAACCTTTGGTTTCGGTTTAATAAAAAATCAAAATAAAGAAATCTGTTGACAATAATGGCAATGTGTGGAATTTTATATTTGCAATCGAAAAAAAAATGCTTTATATTTCATAATTCTTTGGGCATACTTTCATTCAAGATTTTTGTATGCAATTTATTTATCTTAAATGTCGAGAAATTGTTATCAATCTTATTTATTATTACTTTACTTAGAAATTATTATTACTTTACAAAGACGACGTCAAATGGTTGACATAAACAACAAATTGAACAAGCCCCCGAAGAAGATAGTTGAGATGAGTTAATCACTTGAAGAGAGAATTCATAAAAACAAATTTAAAATTGGATTCAAGTTGCCTTCTAAATATTTAATTAAGATTTGCAGATCTCAGTACACCTTCTGGAAGAGTGTGATGTTCTCGCTCGTCAGAGACGAAAGATACTCTGAGCTCAGGAAGATGGGTGTTGTAGGGAATGACTACGCACGCAGAGGAAGGGCGCAATAGATCCCTATACACGATCGCAACGCACTGTCATTTAATTTATATGGCAGCATTCATCTAGCACCAGTTTTTTAAACATAGCAGATTTGACGTTGATAACTTGTAAAACATGACGAGTGAAATGTCAAAAATAAAAACACAATAATACATTAAATTAAATATAAAACAAAACACTTTAGTCAGAAACCATTTTTTTTCCTCCGACTAGGCCTTTCCAAGCCTGATAAACCAAGACAAAAAATAAACAATCAAATAATGTATGGAACAAATGATAATGCATAATAGTGATATGAAAAAATTAAGTAATATAAGTACTACATAATACACATACACTTACTTAATATACATACACTTTCGTATGTACATACAAATCAGAACAATAATATAAACAATAACAAAAATGTTAAAAAAGTATTTTATATGATTTGATTATTACAGAATTCTAGCATTGTACTACACATCTGCATAGTGTATATAACAGAGAATTACCTAATTTAATTTACACTTTAATCAAGAAATTACAGTTTTTACAAATAAAATGCAGCCAAAATTAAAGTGGAGTTAGGTTAAATCTTGAAAGTCGCAGAACTTTTCCAAGAAAAACCAAGAATTAATTTTACTTTTACTTAAAATTTTAAAAGCTGACAACTTGAGGTTCTTTATTTTCCATTCAGATATCACATTTGACGTTATCAATTAATTTTTATTTTGTCAATAGTATAAATAAACTGTTATTTTGAAGAATGACAATGGAATACTTTTATGTCTATATCAAATTTAATTGTTTGTGTATTTAAGAATATTTGCACTAAATTGTTTGTTAGTTTCTATTATCAACCTTATTCATGGTTATTATTAATTGTTAATAACTAACAATTATGGTTTTATTGTCTGAATATTGGTAAACATGTCTGCATTATTAAATTAACAATTTCAGAAATATTTATAAATGTGTATGGAGCCGTTTGGAATACATAATTAAAAATAACATATCTGTTTTAAGCAAAAGATTATTGCAAGAGCATAGTGTACAGCCAAACCGAGACAGTGTTAAAAGCACGAATGTTACTTAAAATACATAAAACTTTATCATAGAATAAACATACTTTATTATATAGAAAATATATTAATTTGGTTCTTTAGTAATTCGAACGAGTTCTTTGCGAATTTGCAGATATACATTTGAGGCTTTTAAGGCTATACAGTTCTACCAAAAACTAAATTTTCGAAAACATCTACTATTTCACTTAAGGCGACTAAAATATTATTTTTAAACTTTTGAATAGGGTGTACATAGGGTATAACAGGGTAGGTAAAAAATGTAGCATTGACTTAACATTAAAATTTAAATTTCCGATTTTTAAATTGGAATAAAATTAACTGTAAAGTTCGCTGCTGCTGTTGCTGTGATCCTGTCCTTCATAACTTTAATTAAGTCTCGCATAGTATTTTAGACAATAATTAACCGATTTTAAATTTTTATAAATCGTTCACTACATTAAATTTTGAATGGAATCTGGGTCCCAAAATCAATTGATTCTCCTTTCTTTGGCAACCCTTTTTATATTTTTTAGATACGTAGAAATAATCAATTGATCGAATCTAATAAAATTTTTATATAAAATTTATTTATGGGGTTGGTCGATATTTTGTCTTTTATACACAAAATTATGATTTCTTGAAAAATTATGTCAAGTTTTACATACATTCGCTTCCTGGATCGATTAAACTGAATTGAATTCTTTAATCGATCATTCTTTTAAGTGAAAGATATATTGTCAGAAAAAAAACTATAACCACTTTGTCACAACTAAATTAAGTGCTTACATATTTCTTTTTTTCTGATAAGAAATAATATTATGCTTATCAATAAAATAAACCAGACGATTTTAATAGAGTAATTTTATTACTATGCTTTTTTGTTCATTCCAAAGTCCTATAGTATAGCCATTATAATTTAATAAAGAAGCATGCAATAATTTTCTTATTATTTATTTTTCTTAATTCATTTAATAGTAGATTACTTTACATACACACTTACTCATATATTTAGTAGTAAATGTACTTTAATTTAACGTTTACGAATAGTATGACAATTTGAGTATTTTCATTTCCAAATATTTTTAACCTTTGGATATATAGAGTTACCGTTCTACGTCACATGAATTAACAATTAATAACAATAATGTTATAAATTATCTCTCAAAATATTTTTGAGTTTGATAATAATTTAAAAAAAAAAATTAAATTCTATTATCAAAAGCAAAGAATTATACACAAACACACACAATACAGTTAGGTGTCCTCCAGAAATATTTTGTTACTTTATGATGTTTTTCTATTTATTTTATATAAAGCTGAAAACAAAGGTTTTTAAAATCAAATTTAACACAGTAACGCCAAATACTCCAGATAAATTTTGATTAGAGGTTAAGAATTGTAAACTAATTTTGAAAAAAAAGAATTTCATAAATCAATTTTCGATTACACTGACTCATTAGATCATCCGATTGAACTAAAAATTCTACACTAATAATAAAGCAAGCGTTTCGTTAAAAAAAAAACAACACAATTCGTTAAAAGAGTTCTACAAAATACGATTTTCCGAATCTATGTATATAAAATTAGAATGTATACATATGGCATTTAAACGTGCGGGAATAAAAAACGGAACGCTTCAAAACTAAGAAGAAATCAATTGGATTATTGAGACATAAACGCATATAATCCGTAATTTTCAAAGTGCAGCAAAAAAAGCTTCGCTGTAGAACTACCGCAAGGAAACTTTAAAAAAAAATTACTTTGCAATAAAATACAAAGAAGTTATACTGCATTTTCATTTAGATTCCTGTAGTAACTATAGTAATTCAAATGTCATATTTGAAGTTACTTTTAACAAAAATGTCAAAAACAAAGTTTGGTAACATTAGTTTGATGTATATACATATGTACAAGCAACAGCGAATTTTTTTCGGCTTCTCTTTTTTTTTTTTTGCGTAGCATAACTAAGTAGTAAAATTCTGCATTTTGGTAAAGACTACATTATATCATTTTTTTGTTCTGCATTTTGGTAAAGATTGCATTGTATAAATTTTTTATTCTGCATTTTGGATCAGCAGTGCACTTTATTTTATTATACTTTCATCCCAGTATATATAATTCTTTGTGTACTAATTGTGCATTACAGGGAATTATTATAAAGTATGTATAACAAAAGAAATTGTATGAATATGTAAATTACCATTGTTGTCCTAAATGAAATGAAAAACAATGAAAATATTTCATTTAAATAAATTACAATGCAAAAAATAGAATTAAACAAAAAATTTTCGGAAATGAAAGCATGCATACAATACAATATATCTTTCAAAGATTCTTAACGGTATTAATGACACGTTTTTAAATTTAAATTCATCAAAAAAATCCATTTAAGATGTTGGCAGCACTGCTCGACTAAATTTGAAGACTATTTAAATACAGAATTTCATATTAAGGTTTGTGTATTTGATACTTAAATAATCAAAGAAGACTAAAGCGAATTTCGAAATCTTTCATTGTTGAACTTCTAAAATGAAGTAGAATAATATCCATAACAAACAAAAAGATTCAAAAGGATTTTTAAAAAAAATAGTTAATACAAATTCTATTTATAGATCTTAATAAGTATTTTATGTATAAATATTTTATTTGGTGACATACTATTAAAAAATCTATAAAAAAGAGAATGGAAACAAAATTCGTTTTTTTCTTGCCTCTACCAATTTCTTTAAATGAAAATAATTTGTTGTTGAGTTTTAATTGGGATAATTTTATTATGAATAATCAAAATTAAAAATTTTCTTATGTATACAATCACAAATATTCGCCCGAATATATGCAAATATAAATATATAGTATTTATTAATTTATTTTGTATTTACTTGCTATATTTTCCTCGCATTATAAACTTAAAAAAAAATAAGTAATTTAATGCAAAATTCAATTTAAAGCAACATAAAAACGAACAAGTTGAGGCCGCCTTCAAGAGTTTAAAAATAGAATCAGCCCAGAAACTGCAAAATCAGATGTTCAATATTTTGAAAGTAATGCAAACAGATGCCAAAAAAGCCGTCAGCGATAACATATGTTTTTAGGATATTTTGCCGGTGTCAACTAAATTCGTGGCAGTATATTGCACTCCCATTAATAAGTGTATTTGTAATCAATATTTGAATTTTGAAATTTCGCC